ATAGCCCTCGTGTAGCTTTGCGCGAAATTAAAAAACAAACTACTTTCAACATTACCCCTGTCTTGCACTTAGAAAGCCGAGAACTGAAAAGCTTCTGTTTCCTGACACGCTTTATTTAAAAATAATAAGGAAGGGAGATTTAACTACTGAAAAAAAAAGTGCAACACCTCAAGTAGGTCCATATATTTTCTTCCTCTTTCAGTGTGTGACGTATAAAAAGCAATGTTTTTCATTCGAACGTAATAGGTGTTCATCTTTGTTACTTGGGACACTTCAGACAGCGTGAGCTGACAAATTCCGAATCTCTATAGCTATATAATTGCAGATAAATCGACTTTTAAATGTAGAAAACCAGCTTATAACTTGCTAGTGGAACAGAGTCGGAGATGAATGTGTCGATCACAAGGATTGTATTTTCCCCTTATATATAAAACCTCAGTTTCAAAGTAATACAAAATGTGAGGGAAAAGATGTCCTTCCCCCGCTCCCCCGCACACATTGCATGACGTATTTTACGAATAACGAACATTGTATTTTCAAAGAGCAAAAATTACACAAGACTGTTTATCTTTGACATGCCAACATGTAGCTAAGCGAGCTGGGAAAATAATAAAAGAAAAACCTAAAAACAACTCATATACCAGTCAAATGTAGATACAGGATTGGTATTCTACTCCACAGATCACTTATAGGAATTGTACCGCGGCAACTTCACTGTGTTCTCTGAGCAAGTGTTTTATTTTTCGATTCAATTCACTAACGCCGAATGAACATTAACACTGCTAGAGGGCTTTTTATCCAGCACCAACACCATGAATTGAAAGAATATTGCATAACGAAGATTTTAAATAAAACTGCCACGTCTTTATACAAAAAGAAGTTTAAATAAAAATTGTCCGTTGTTTATTGAACTTTCCATTTATATGAGACGTACGTCTCGTGTTACCTTTAGAGAAATTGAGGTACTAACAACAGTAGAATCGTACAATTTTAACAGCAAACCATACTTTACTTTTCCACTTTCTTCTTATCACAGTCAGAGGACTTTCCTATACACTGTATATATATATAAATCACAAGCTCAATCTCCGAACACTGAATTCTTCAGCAATAAGTACATTGTTAAAATCATAAATAATATTCAACGTTAAACTGGTACACAATTAAAAACATTTTATTTAGGCCTATCTAT